GATCAAATCGAGATAAAAATGATAAACAATATGGACCGAATCAAGGATTTTTTGAGTTGAGGGACTAAATTTGGGGACGTACAATAATTGATGGACCAAAATGGGGGTTTAACCCATTGTTATGAATACTGTACCATACCGGCCGATAGACCAGTACATATTGGTTTTTTCACTAAACCAAAACGGTACATGGTTCAATTTTGTTTTGGTCAAATTTCACTTGTTTTGGTCAAATTTCGACATACCAGTCGGTACACCGAAAACTCGCTAGCACAAATCAATTCAAATTTAAAATGGGTAAATTCCATTTTTGGTCATCAACTTTAATGTTTTACATAATTTTCATACTTTAACTTTTTTATGCACTTTTTTAGCCCATCAACTATGAAAAATGTATTTTTTTAGTCCCTCCATCAATTACTCTATTAAATTTATTTAAATATGCACATTTTTAATCCCTTAACTTAAAGTGGCGGAATGAAAAATATGCATATATTAGAAGTTGAGAGAGTAAAAATAGTCATTTTAAATTTGTTTTCAATTTATATGAATATAATGGTTTTAAACATTAGTTTCTCTTATTATTATTTTAAAATTTGATATTTAATTTATAAGAATATATATTTATAATGATAAATCTAAAACAATACGCAAAAAATTTCGGTATTTTGTACGTACCGTTTCAATAGCAAAATCGATACGTATACCAGTACAGTATTGACAACTTTGGTTTAACCTAATCTTTTTGTATAATTTTTCTATAAAATTTTTTATGTCATTAGAGGATGCATACAAAATTATGGGTCTTAATAAAGTGAAAAGAGTAAATCATTAAATAATGTATAAAATTGTATAAAAAATTATAGGTTAAATCCCCAATATAGTCCTTAAACTATTGTACGGACCCTTGATTTGATCCTTATTATTTATCAATTTGCCCCAAATTGGTCCTTCCATACAAAAAACAATTGATGTGTCTTATTATTAATGTAACATATGGCAGTTAAGTTACAATTTTTTGTATTTAAGTAACGGACACATCAGTTTTTTTTGTACAAAAGAACCAATTTAGGGCAAAGTAATAAATAGTAGAGACCAAATCAGGGGGTCCATACAATAGTTCAGCGACCAAATCAAGGATGTTTTTAGTTCATGGACCAAATCTATAGTCCGTACAATAGTTTAGGAACCAAATTAGGGGTATAACCAAAATTATATAAAAATATGATGATAGTGTAAGACAGGTCATCCTCTTAATTTTTTTAGTCTAAAAATTTAATTTCTAATTAATATTTTTAAAAACCAATAGTTGGATTCAAAATTATATTTATTTAAATCATGTATCTCAATTTTCATATTAATTTAATAATGATAACCCTTTCATTAAAGAAATTCTATTTATTGACATATATATTTAATGTTATTAAATTTCTTATAATCAATGAAATGGTTAAACCTACTACAACAATTTAAAAATTAACATGTATAATCTATACGAGAAAAACTTTCAATTTAATGACTAATTTCTAAAATATATAATTAATTAAAAATAAGTTTTTAAACAAATTCTCTAAAAAAATTTGAGAAAATGATATGTAAAACACTTTTCTCTAAAAATATTATCTTCCAATCATTTTCCATTTCTATTGTGATTTGGAGGGATTTACGTGTGGAAGAGGGACAAGTGCAGAAGAGGTAAATGCAAGAGAGAAGGGTGAGGAAGAGGATGAGGACATTTTGGTCATTTCCTATCTGAAGAAGGCATATCTCCAATCTAATTTATTTTCAACATGAAAAACCTCCTGACATGTCATAACGCCCAATAATGGTCAATATCTAATGCACTATTAATTTTAATTTTAATTTTATTTATTTATATTTTTTTTAAATAGTTATTTAATATTTAAAAATATTTATTTAAAAACTAATTTTAATTTATTAAATAATAAATATTAACAATTTTATCAATTATCAATAATTTTTAACCATCAAATGAAGATAAAAGTTTGACAGATTTAATGGCCTTAACAAATTTAATAGTGGTCATAAGCATAACATTCAACAATAACATCAGGATATTTGATAAAAAAAAAATATGATAAATGGAAATCAGACCAAGTCACTCATTTAAGATTTTCCCTTTTCTTTTTTGAGAAAGGCCTATAAAGCATCTGGTCAAATTTTTAACATAAAATGCTTCCTCACGCATATGGTCAAAATTCAAACTCTCATTCCCCTTCTCCATTTCTCTCCTCCATGAGAGTTTTAACCAATTAGCCTGTCTCGTGTAAAAAAGAACAAGGGATTTCCCCTTTTCTCTTCTAAATAGAAACTCAAAAAGATCATGAACAAAAAAAAATACAACTCAAAGAACTTGGTCTAAAGTTCATATCAATGTAAACAGACATACAATATAAGTAATTCTAGCGACACTGATTCTGCTTTCCGGAATTCTTCAGCAAAGAAGGCAAGAAAATCTTATAAAACCAGGGGAAAACAAAAATATGTATAATAATTTGATAATTAATGATGTTCTCTTCTCTTCTATTACTGTCTAAACTCTACAAGAAAGTTTGTAGTCATCCAGCACAAAGAGAGTTTAGTACTTGAATTTGATTTTTTATCCTCCGCACATAGACCATTCTCTGAATTTTAATGAATAAGCTATTTGAATTACCTTTCATTCCTCTTAGATTTTGAAAAAATGTATAGGACAAGATCAGGTTGTTGATACCGCCCATTTAGGATCTGTTTCAAACTCGGGGTTAATGTAGAAGAAAATCTGCAAAGACGTGCCATTGAATAATAAAAAACTTGTTCTCTCCAGAAACTAAAAATTTAGACAGCCTTCACTTACAGGCATGTTAATCTGTTATCCAGGAAGAAGATGCTGCTCCTCAAAGCAAAAGCACAAGCACTGGATTTTGTTCAAGTAAACTGCAGCCAGAAAAAGGAAAAGAAAGTAGAAGCGGACAGATTAACTGAGCCACTCCTCCCAGAGTTTTCACATGATTGAAATGATAAAAATGATGACAACTGGTGTTTAACGCAGCTTACTCTTTAGGTTTCATTGAAGATTATGCAGCAGAACTCCAAAGAATTATTAATTTATTACCAACATTTGTCCGCTCATTTATCAAGTACAATCTAGTAACCTAACATTACTCCCTTTTTTTTTTGGTACATCAAATGATGAGTTATACAATAGAGGATAGCCCTCCCCTTTCCAAACCCCTCCCCACCTATCCCAGGATTCAAACTTCAGATCTCCAACATTGAAATTCATAACCACTAGATCGTCCACTATGGGACATATCTACTTTCTTCCCTGATCCTTATACAACTATCAATATGCATGCTTAAGCTTCAGCCTTTATGTGCATGCCAATTGTCAGTTTTTCCAATACCAGTGCTGAAACACAAATGAATGAAACACTAAAGTGATGCACGAAGACCCCATTGGTGCCAATAGAAATTATGCCTAAGCAGCAAGACACAATAGCGCTGCATTTCAACTAAAGTTCTCCCATGATTATTTGAGCACAAAGCTACCGTCATTCTCAGTCCCTAGAAGAAAATCCCCACATAAAATAGAACAGATTATGTTGAGAAAATATTATGTAATAATGTCCAGTTGCACGAATAAAAAGGAAGGGCAACAAAAAATGCAGTTCACAGTATTAAATGTGCAGATCATTCTTTCACATCAAAATCACTCTATGTCTATCCTAAATATTTTCGACTACTCATTCTTTCTTGCATAAGAAGATCTATTGTTTTAACAGTCATACCTCTGTCAACAATTCAAAATAAAAGGCAAGTGTTTATTTTGAAGGCACCTCCAGGGAAAACAGAATGGAAAGATATTTTTCACTAGGTCCTAGCTTTAGGCCCTCCTAATTTACCCCAAGCAATGAGTAAATATCAAGTTGTATTTGGAAAATGAAGCAAAGATCATGTTTTTCATGAAATGCCACAGAGATCCAGAATGGAGGATAATTCTGCAAAGAGATCTAAAAATTATGAACAAATACTTTGATACATCAGGGTACCTCCACTGGGGAAAATTTTATATGCAGACATACTAGTTATTGGTTTTGAGCTTCTATTTTCAGCAGTATAAAATGCTAGGGCACTCTCTCCTGGTTTGACCCTTACCTAGCAGAAAGAAATGATGAAAAGATATGTTAAACATGATGGAAATCATCCTCTAAATTGCAGAAAATTAGACAGAGAGAACTTGGAAGTGAGAATCACCTCTCTTTGAGTCGGAATGAATTTCCTAGGCATTCCATCAGAGACATCAGCATTGAACTGCACAACTCTCAGCCTGGTGAAAGAGATAAAGAACTCAACAAGACAAAGACAAACCTGATAGTCCTTCAGTCATTCAGGTCAAATTCCACATGCCTCAGAAAGGAAACCCTAGAAAATGCATGCATTAATTGAAGTTGCATAAACATACAGATAGAAATTCGAAACATAAGAAATTATGCAAAGATCCTTATCCCAGTGAAATCAGAGTTCAGAGATGCTATTAGCTGATTAGTTGAGGCAGTCCTGCATCATTAGTTTCTTTGTAGAGGATTGGCATGAGACTATAAGAGAATGAATATAATTAGAAGACAGAATAAGGAGTCAAAATTTCAAATAGCATATCTCTTCTCAGAGCAGTATCTGGAACAAATGTTGAGAGGCCAAAAAAGTGCAACATTAAAAGTTAGAAAAAAATGATATCCACTTTGACTTTAGGGATGCACATGCTCGGACAGTTTATGTAGAAGTTTGCTAAATACTAAAGAAATCATGTCTGGGCACTTAGGAATATATCCTTTTCTTTATTTTCCACTTTCTTCCCAACAATTAACATACAATATTCTAGCATACAGTTGGAACTTTGATGCCCATAAAACTCATCTCCACACCCAAAAGAAAAAATTTTAATCTCCAGAAAATCACCCCTAGAAATCCTACTATTCTAATAGTTTGGGTATGGAGAAAGATATAATCAACATTTGTTATAAGATAAAGTCTGGTATAAATAAAGTCCACTTAGTTTGGTATGCCACATGTCGAACAGAATAGTCTAAAAAAGTTGAAAACCAAAAGTTATACAAGAACTATATCTCAAAATAGAATCACCACTAAATAACCAAAGGCAAGGTTTTAAATAAGCCCTTACATCTGAGGCCCAGAAGTGCACCTGGTTGTGACTGTTCCATCTTTTGCATGCCTAGCAATCTTTTCTTCAACAGTCTAAAAGACAAGAAGGTCGTATTGTGAACAAATCAGGGAAGAATAAATTGCCAATATAATTAAAAGCAACAACAAAGAAAAAAAATGAAAAATTATCATCTCAACCTCACCTCATGACGTTGGATGATACCTCCATACCCAGTAGATTGGCAGAATCTCCAGCACAAAGGGACAGATGCATAAGTAAGTCCAACCATCACTAAAATCAGTGCTGTTAGGTATAAGAGCTTCTTTCTTGATTCCTGTTCCATCAGAAGAAAAATGCCATTGAATGCCTAGCAAAGAAGGAGATCTCCAAATGTACTGATGGAAAAAAGGACAGAAACCAAAAGACTTATTAGATGATCCAATGCTAAATTCATGTCTTGGCATTAGACTCCAAGCATCATGGTGAGAACATTGCCTGGACTCAGTTGAGCTTTGAGCAAGTAATATTTTGGACATAAAACAGTAGGAACAAACCTAGACCAGAAAAAAAAAAAAAAGGATTTATCAGCCAAAAACAAAACCCATAAAGGCTCAATTTATCCAATCCACATTCTTCAAAAATTAAAATTAGAGGAAAGTTATGAAGAAATCCATTCTTATTTCTGCTGCATTTTCTGCAATGAGGCCTGGTTCTTAGTCTTACAGTGTATAGGGGTTAATTATATTCCAATGCAATGCAGTGCTGAATGGTCTTGGTTACAGGAGGAAACAAAAGGAAGGAACAGGAGCACTAGCTATTTGAAGGAAGGTTGCATTTGCAACATCTATATATTCCCTATGGTATGAGAGGAACACATGGTTGTTTACTGGAGTATGTGGAAGTGTAAACTCTCTAGTAAATCTTATTGTTTATCATTTGAGCTTGTTAATTGGGAGATAAATGGATGAAGTGTGCCAGGGTATGCCCAGTGTAGTTGTATTCCCCTTTATGGGGCATAGTTTGGAATGAAAAGTAACTTGCTTTCTCCTAAAACTAAAATCCATTCTTATTTCTTTATCTCTAAGTTTACCTATGTTTTTCTTATCAAGACAAGAACACATAGATAGTAAAGGTCTGTATTTTACCATTAGCAATACAAAATGTTCACCTGGATTCATGAGAGGAGCGCCCGAGATTTTTCAAATTATTGAGGGTGATTCCACTAGAAAACCTTTGCCATGACATGATATCAGTTCCTAAAGTATCACTACAAAAGTGAAAAATTGAAAGTAAGATTAATGTTACTGCACAAATGCAAGAGTGAAGACATCATAAATTGGTCTATGAATGAAGCAGATAGGAGTAAAACAGAGACCAGAAACCTACAACAAAACATCCATAGCCCAGCACAGAATCAAGCAAAAAGGAGGAATATTAAAATGGGTGCAAGAGAAATGTACCTGAATTTGAATTGCAATAATAAAAACCGTAAATGGTTTCTGGGTTAGCTGGGTTCCTTGGTGAAGGTGGGTTTCCGATTGATGCCAGGCGGTGTGCTGGGGACCTACCTATTGGGTTTGGAGGGGAGCTGGAGTTCGATCATGGGACAGACCCAGGTACAGATGTTTACTGGTTCCGGCTCCAAGAGATGATGACCGGCGACCATACCAGGTTTGCATGGAACTGGCAATAATAAGAGAATTGTGCTCTTGTATCTTGTATTTAAGGATATCACGTGAAATTGTACCTCTAATTTAAAATTAATTAATAATAAATAAAATAATTCTTATTATATTTAACTTATAATTTTCTTCATTATATACTGTATTTAAGACTTTCTCTTTTAACACGCCACTTACGTGCAGAGAAAGGAAAATCACACAATAAGTCCCTGAAAGTTGTACACAATTCAATTAAGCCCCTAAAAATTTGTTATCATGTAAGTCAAAATGTTTTTTCCTTTAGGCACAATAAAGTGCAAAAGAAACGTTAGAGATTGATTTGTATTTATTATTATTATTATTATTATTATTATTATTATTATGAGAATGGATAATAGACAAATGCCATAGGAAAAGAGAAAGGAAGGAACAAGTCTTCTTTAGAAGAGGAAGGCACAATTGTGTACTATTCTTTGATTTTTAGAGTGCATATATAATAAACTTCATCCGCCAGACGCAAAACACCTGCTCCAAATGAATCCAGCGTATGCTTGTCCGCACCAGCGAAGAATTTAGCAGGGCGCCAAGTTTGACTAAACTTCAATGCATCCACAAAGGCTTTAAAACATTTACGCCCGAAAGAAACAAGCTGCTTACAACAGTCCTTGGTGATAGTATATTTTGTGTCAGAAAATACGTTTACTTCAATGGCTATCCGACACTTATTATCAGTTATGTGTTTGAAAATTGGACAAACTTCAAGAAACTTCTCATGTTCAGTAAAGTAATCCGCAATAAAGGGTAGACTATCCGGAGCAGGAGCAAGAGCAGCTTGAGATGTTACCCTGCTAGCCAACAAGAAGACTGCCATGGCAACCAAGATTATGTAAAGCTTCTCTATTGCCATTTGTAGTGATCTCTTGTTTGTTTAGGCTTATAGCTAGCAAGGGGAGGAACTTCGGGGCAATTTGGCATTGAGATTTGAGAGTAAAGGGATGGATTTATATTACGAATATGTAACATCCTTCGACGGTACCTTAATCGGTTTCAATGTTGTACTGTCGTTTTTCTTAGGAACATTTAATGAAGAGTAACTATTTTAACTTGTACCAAAATTTGGGGAAATTATTTCAACCGTAGTTCACAACATGATCAACAATTACCATAATATTTTATAATAAATAATTTTAGATAGAAAAATAATTGAGGGAAAAAGTGTCTTACAAATCATTTTCTCAAAATTTTTTTAAATGACTTCTTTCAAAACTTAAATTCTAATTAATATTTTTAAAAATTAATATTGAATTAAAAATTTTATTTATATAAATTATGCATGTAAATTTTTAAATTGTTATAGTAAACTTAATCACTTTGTTTATTATAAGAAATTTAATATTATTAAATATATATCAATAAATATAATTTATTTAATTATAAAATTATAAGTATTAGATTAATATAAAAACTGAAATGCATGATCTACAAGTATAAAACTTTCCATTCAATAGTCAATTTTTCAAAATATTAATTAAAATATGAGTTTTTAAACAAATTTTTTTAAAAAATTTTAGAATGATGATCTAATAAGATCAAATACTATACTTGATCTTAGCCACAAGGCCAAGAAAAGTATAGAAAGATAATTTGCCTTATACTATCCTCATAATCAAGAAATACACTTTTTGTATAACTTGTACATTCTTATATGTCATTTAATTATTGATTATTTTCACTCTTTTAAAACTTATGATATTGTATAAATTCACTTATTTAATAATATATGAAAACTATATTAAAAATTTGTATAAAAATCTTATCCCAATATTAACACCCTTTTAAATATCCAATTTGATGCCAAATCCAAATATACCAAATTCATTAATTAATGTGTGTTTCACCAAATTTCTAACATGATTTCTGTTACAAATATTTGAAATCGATCGATGAAAACAAAATTTTTCATAAAATACTTCTCACTATTTTTAAAAATTGTTTTTAATTAGCTTCTAAAATGCTAGTAGAAATTAAAGATATCTTACACAATCTAAAAACAATAAAAAATAATAATAAAGGTTAGTTTATCACGAAGGTAGAATTTTCAATTCATTTTAGTTTTATCAAAGACACGGACAGCATGGTTTTATCATCATCGTTTCATTGTTGCATGGATTGACAAATTAATCTTCAATGAATTAACATGCTTATATCACTATATTTTCTTGTAAATTTACGGTATTTATTTTTTTCTCCATAAGTTCCCAAATAATAAAGGTTTAAATACTATTTTGGTTCCTCAATTTTTCATTTTGACATTAAAATTATCTTTTAACTTTAAAAAATATCAAAATTATTCTTAAATTTTTATTTTTGATACCAAAATAACCCTTTTGTTAGTTAAGTGCTGGGATGGCAAAGTTTACCGTTAAGTAATTTAATTTTTTTCAGTGGTGAATATTAGGTGCAAACTAAATAAGTGAACTGGCACTTTTATAATTTATGTAGAAATTTTTAAATTAGATGATATGGATTTAATTGAAATAGTTATCACAAAAGAAAATTTGTGAAATTACATTAATGGCCCTTAGTTATCTTCTTCCCCCAGCCTCCAGATCTCATCTCTCCATTATCTGTTTCTGTAAGGATAGGTCCGAGGTGCCAAACCTCAAACTGCTACAGTAATTCCTTTATGACCGAAGTGAGGAATAAATCCAAAGCTTCCCGCTCAAATGGCTGCATGACAAGGACAATAAGCATGCCCGTACCTGATCCCTTACGATGAGTGGCACAGCAAGTATGGTGGACGCTCGTGCATCTGGATACCTCTCAAATTCCCGGTCCCAGAAATACCGTCTGGATGGACACGTCAGGCTCCGATTATCTTGCTTGGCATGCCACGTGGGTTCCTCATTGGATCCTATAAATACCCCTCCCGGGCCACGTCAAAAAGGTAATTGAAACCAACCTTAAGCTTTTCTTATCTCCGCCTTAAAGGTAGCCCCGATTATTGTTGACTTAAGCATCGAAGTGTCTACCCCGAGTTCCACCTCGGGGCTTTGCAGGTCATCTTGAAGTGCAAGTGCGGACTGAAGAAGGACTTCTGGTTTGGTGCAATTACATTGGCGCCGTCTGTGGGAAACGAACTGAAAGCTCTCTAGTTGCTCTTCCGTCATGGTTCACACTCGATCAATCCGAGCTGGTAATTCATCTCTGCCTCATGGGCAAGGTCAACCCCCCAACAACCTTCCACCTCTGATCCCACCTCAAATCCAACCTCAGCTTCCACCTCAGGTCCCAACTATATTCCCTCCTGTTGATCATGCAGAAGGAGGAGATGAAAACCAACCCCATACCTCAGCTCACAATTCAACTTCCACTGCCAACCAAGACGCAGTGACAGCTCAGCTTGCTGCCATGCAGCAGCAGTTTGGTGTTTTTCAATTGGTACTGGCCCAGCTTTTAGCTAGAAATAATCCTGGTGATCCCCTCATTAATTTACTAAACCCTGCTCAACAACCCCCAGCTCCACAGCAGAATCCCCAACCAGTTCAACCTGCTCCCGCTATTAGCGAATCTCAGGATCAATCCCACATAGCACCCGCTTAGCAACCCATCCCAGATGATGTTACTCGTCGCCTTGATAGCTTAGAAAAGCTGGTAGCTGAACACCGAGGTGCTCCACCCCCACACCATGCTGCCGATTCCATACCTCACCCCTTGAATACCAATATCACATTGGAACCCTATCCTATTGGCTTCAAAATACCACAACTGGAGACTTATGATGGGACGAAGGATCCCGATGATCACCTGCATGCTTTTTACTCTTGCATGCAAGCACAGAATGCCTCTGACGCGTTAATGTGCAAGATCTTCCCCTCTACTCTGCGAGGTAATGCCCGAACTTGGTATTATAGTTTACCTCCGAGGTCAATTAGTTCTTACACAGAAATGGCATCTGCCTTTGCCACTAAGTTTTCCAGTAGAAAATTGATTAGGAAAACTACTACCAAATTGATGCGCGTTAAACAGAGGGATGGAGAGTCTCTAAAGAACTACATGAGCAGGTTCAATGATGCGGTGTTGGAGGTTAGTTCATTTGACCAAGCTGTGGGCATTGCAGCTGTAATCTCTGGTCTCAAACATGACAGGTTCCGAGACAGTTTGATCAAACATGCTACCACCACCTTTAGCGAGGTAAATGATCGGTCTTTGAAATTTATAACTGCTGAGGAATACGCCCTGGCGCAAAACCCACCTTCCTCTAAGAGCTAGAACCCAGAGTGGAGAGATGAGAACCCGAGCCGAAAAAGGATGAGAATGGCGCAGAACCGAGGTCCAGTGTTGACCTCCCCGCCGAGATTCAGAAGGACGAACTCCACGCCCTCACAACAATCTGCAAGTAAACCTCCAGTTAATTGGACTCCATTTAATTTGCCGAGGTCGCAAATTTTTATGCAGGTTAAGAACAAAATGGACTTGAGACATCCTGGCCCAATGCGAACTGCTACTGCTAGTCGAGACCATACCAGATATTGTGATTTCCACCAGGGTCACGGCCATACTACAGAGCAGTGTAACAGCTTAAAGTCCGAACTGGAAAGTTTAGCTCAGAAGGGAATGCTGAATGAGTATGTTCAGAGAGCTGAACAGCCGAGATTTATCAGAGAATAGAGGCCGCAGCCTCAAGGAGTCCGCAATCCCCCAAATAGACAAGGTGTGGGATACCAGCAAGCCCCACCTCCGCTCCCACCACCGGCTAGAATCATACACATGATTACCGGAGGCCTTGAAGCAGGAGGATTGAGTTCTAAGCAGCGAAAGCTGTATGTCAGAGAGGTTAAGCATCAGAACCGAGCTCAGAAGCGAAAGATTGACGATGCTGAATGGAAGAATCAACCCATTACTTTCACATCTGCTGACCTCGACACAGTTGTTACACCCCACAATGATCCTCTGGTCACTTCTGTCATGATCAATAACTGTGAAGTACAGCGTGTCCTTGTTGACACCGAGAGTGCACCAGACATTATGTATTTCCACTGTTTCAAGAGTCTAAGGCTAGATCCATCATTGTTGCAGAAGTATGATGGTCCTATCTATGGTTTCAACAACCAACCTGTTCCGGTAGAAGGAGTTCTTACCCTCCATGTGGCTTTTGGGAGTGGCCGGACCTATGTAACCCCTTCAGTCCGGTTCCTCGTCGTCAAGATGGCCTCCTCTTTCAACATTGTTATTGGCCGACCCACATTGACCGAAATCCGAGCTGTGGTTTCCCAATCCCACCTCTGCATGAAATTCCCCACTCCTATGGGAATAGCAACACTGCGAGGAAACCAGGAGGTGGCTAGACATTGTTATATCACCTCGGTAACACAACCCATGAAGGGCAAAGCTCAGACACCCGAGGCCATTCCTCAGCGAATTCCTGATAATCAGCAGGTTATGGGTGTAGAGATCGTCGATAATCGACCAGAAGATGAAACCAGAGCTGCTCCGGTTGAAGATGTTGAAGAAGTGCTCGTTGATGACAGAGATTCGAGCCGAAAGACGCAGATCAGAACTAGATTGAACCCAGACGAGAGAGCAAAGCTAATAGCCTTTCTTCGAGCTAATAATGATGTATTCGCATGGACTTCGGCAGATATGCCAGGAATTCCAAATTCAGTCTCTCAACATAAGCTCAGCACCAATCCATTGAAAAAACCAGTGGCCTAGAAACGGCGTCTCTTCGGGGGTGAGAGGCTTCAGGCTGGTTTTGTCAGGAAAGTCAATTACTGTGAATGGGTGGCTAACCCAGTTCTGGTAAAGAAGGAAAATGGCAAATGGCGAATGTGTATTGATTACACAAATCTTAACAACGCCTGCCCTAAGGATTGTTATCAAATGCCGAGCATTGACAAACTAGTTGAAGCGGCTTCAGGCAATGAGAGGTTAAGCCTCTTGGACGCATATTCGGGGTATCACCAGGTGCCAATGGCTCCAGAAGACGAAGAGAAAACTGCGTTCTATGCTGGCGATGAAATTTATTGTTACGTCATGATGCCGTTTGGCTTAAAGAATGCGAGTGCTACTTATTAGAAAATGGTAACCATTGTCTTCCACGCTCAGATTGGCAAGAACCTGGAGGTATATGTCGACGACATTGTGGTAAAAAGCCTAAAAGCAGAAGACCATCTCGCCGACCTCGACGAAACCTTTAACAACCT